AGATATAAATTACAAAACATAAATTGTAAATGATGAGCTGTAAAATATAAAATATGAATTGTAAAATATAGAAAATACATTTTACATTTCTCCCCTGCTTCGAAAAATCTACCTATCCCATACCTTCATTTAAATTTACAGGGTATTTGCAGGCAAACAAATTGGCACAAAACAAACTTGGTACGCCTTAGCCTCTTGTGACAAGGCTGAGGTAACTGGCAACTGGCAACAATTGCTGTTGGTGCTCATGTTGTTTCTGTGCCGCTTGCCACGCCCACACACAGCCTTTGACTAGTTTTTGGCAACAACAAAAAAATAAACAACAAAAATTGGTTGCTTTATGTGGCAGTTGAGTAATTAACACAGAAGTTTGTTAACTGGCTGTAAAAGAAAGTAGAGAAAGTGGAGCGGGAAAGAGAGACAGAGAGAGAAAGCCTCCAAGCTTCGATTTCATGCACCATTTACTCGACTTTTGCTGTGTGTGTGCGTGTGTTTGTGTGTTGGAAGCTCTCAAGGATTTGTTGAGGCCAAATGCCACTGCAACAGCCATCAAGCATGCTTGCAACAACTTTGTGGCATGTGCTAATAATACCTACATCAAACACACACACACACACGCAAAATAAACAAAATTCTTTTCTTTGGTTGCAAAAATGCTCTGGATAAGCCATTTGAGCAATTGGAAAACTCCATTAATTGAATGAGAGTTGGCAAGTGTAAAAAAAAAAAATTGATAGAAATTTGTTTATTTTTACTAATTTAGTGTGCAGATAATACTCTAAAAATTGTAATGGTTTAAGGGAATTCATCTCAAATGAAAAATGTAGAATAAACTCTCATTTTCGCCAAGCTTTTATGCTGCTCTCATAGATCGCAGAGCTTACATTAATATCTTCTTAACTCATTAACTTATGTTTCAGCTAAGCTCTTGAAAAATAAGCTTATTTACCATTAACTGCTCTCGTTAAACTTCTGCCTGCTCTCGTATTTCGACAAGATTAACTCACATTTTTTAGCTGTTAAAAAGCTTGGTGCTTAACTCACATTTCAGAGTCTCAAGTTCTAAAATGATCTCCTGACTTGAGCTTAACTCAGAATTTTAATGCGAGCTTAACTCAAATCATAACACGCTTACGCACTTACACATGTTAATTACCTTGCCTACTTACATACATATGTATGTTAATTTTATGCTCTGCTAAGTCAATGGCTCTTCACAATAAAAGCTCTCAATAAAGCTTTGCTCTGACAAACTCAACAACAAAGTGAAGGATTTACCGATCGTTACACACACACACACACACGCAAACCTCTAGACTCTCATGTTTCGTTTCTATCGTTCTCGCAAGTCATTGGCCAAGTCTTATCGCTCATCAATCAGAAGAGCCTTACACACACACGCACACACACCCGTTCGCTTGCCAATGACTTGCAGTTAGTTGCATTGTTCCTCTTGCACTTTGTTGCCTTGCCAGAGCAATTTACGTTGAGAACGTGCTATAAATTGGCCCTAGTCAGCGCTATATATATCTGTATCTGGACATTATCACTTTGCCGGCTGACTTGTTCGCGCTGCACTTGCAGTTAATTAAAAAAATGTTGGCCGAACGATTTATGTGGGCTAATTGGATTTGGCCCACACGTGAATTTCAATTGCAGTTGCAATTTGTTGTGTGTGTGTGGGTGTGTGCAGCAAAACGTCTTCAAGTGCTTTATCAAGTTGACTTCCTGTTCCTGTGCCTCCTGCTGTGTTTTCCCCTCTCTGTCTCTCACTTTCTCCCTTACACACTCACACCCACGACAATTGCTTTGCTCTGCTCACAACAAATTTGTTGTTGGACTGGAAAATTGCTTTCCAGCTGTTGATTGCGCTGCTAAACGTTGCCACTTATTAATTTGTTTATTATTCACCTCTAATCACTCGCACTCAATTCACCTCACCCCACCATCGGCTGATGCAGCGACTAATCCATAAAGCCGTTTAGCATTCAGCTCAAGCTACTGTCCATCTCACTCTCTCTCTCTCTCACTCTTTCTCACACACACACACGAGCGCTCTCTGGGTTGACAGGCAACAACAAATGTACAAAAATTTGTTAACATCAAAAAGTACATTAAAGGCTCAAGGAATGCGCTTTCGTGCGGAAATTGCTTACGTGCGCGGCATTAACAAATGACGTGCTGTATGCGACAGCCAACAGCGTATAAGAGTATAAGACTCACTTGCCTACACAACCCATCCACCCCGCTTGCTTGCTCTCCCTCTCCATCTCGCTCACTCTCTACAGCTGCTCTTATTTGGGGTTGCGCCTTTGCCACTGTGTGTGGAACGTGTGGAACTTGTCGCTTTGTCGCCCAGCCTTCAGCCATTGGCTAGCGGTGGTGAGTTTGTATGTGCGCTTATGCGCATACTGTGTGAGAGCAACAAGTGTGTAGAGTTTGCGTTGGTAAGCGTGGAGACTCTTTGCCAGTGCACTGTTAAGTTTAACAGTGCGCTGTTACTGAGGGTGGTTGATATGCTACGACTACAACTACAACGATTCTTTTTAACTGACAAACAAAATAATTAAAAACTGTAAGAGGCGACCAAAAAAGAGACATGTAAAAAGAACAAAAATACGAATTGCATTGCGAGCCACACACTGTCGTTGACTGCGCTGCTCGCTTCGCTGTTGTCATTGGCGTTGCTTGTGGAAAGCTTTTCATATTACAGCACAAATACACCAAGGGCTAAAGGCGACAGAATACAAGCGTTTGACCAATCCCTTCCACTCTCCCATGCCACACACACGCAGAGAGCACACACATGTATGTGTGTATGCATGTTTATGTACGAACAACATCTCAGTTTTCACACTTGCTGCAGTTGCAGTGGCTGCGCCGTGTGCGTTGCTGTTTTAATATAAAATACCCTACAGGAATATATATGTCGAACGGGACATTATGCAATATATGTTGAAAATGTAATGAATACATCAAGAATACTATATTTTCTTGTTGTTAGCTGACTAACAAAACAGATTAAATTATTATTAAATATTTTAGTAAAAGAATTAAAATAAAAATTCATAAAATTAAAAAATAATAATAATAATCAGACGGATTTAAAAATTAAAATGAAAAAATATGTGTAAATAAAATTGAGTTATAATT